GAGTTCTCAAAGTGTTAGAGTGTGTGTTGTCTTGGTTTGTTATTTTATTCATTCTTCCCAGCAGTCCTTCAGTTGGTAAGAGTGGATTGTTAATTCATCTTGTTTCTCTGGTATTTAGGTCTTTAGGGTATTTGAATTTCACATAATTTTCAATCCTGACATTTCAGATGGCAATAGAAAGAAAACTTAACATTTAGATATCCCTATGTATCAATATATGGAGCCTGGCACTGTCACACAAATACCTTAATCCTGACAACCATAGTGCAAGGTAGGTTTCATTCCCATTTTTACACATAGGAAAGTTTAAGTGTGGGGAGAGGAATACGTATCTTGCTCAACATGACTTGGCTGATAAGAGGAAGACTTAATTTGGACTCAAACCGGACCACCAGAACACCACAATTCTCTTCATTGCTGGAGACTCTGAAACCATTTTTCTGTTTTAAAAAACGGCCATAGTTTACTTGTACTTCTCTTTGGAAAAGCTTTAGTTGTTATATTGCATTTCTTTCCCCACATAAGAATTTCATTTAAATGCCATGACCACTCTGGTGGTGTATGTATTTTAGACCATAAAATTTAATACAGTTGTAGGAGAGCATTTGAAGCTAATATGCAAAGATTTTGTGCCTAGAAAACCTACAAATGCCTTTAAACTTTGGACTTAAGTGCTACTATCTCCAAAATGGATTTGAACCAGGTAGTCAAATTTCTTATGAGCCTACTTATTTCTTAAAAAGCAAAATTGATTGAGATTGCCTTTCAAACAATTTAAACTTGTTTTAAAATATTTGTATTTATTCCCACCAGATACCAGATAAATGAAGCATTATTATAGTTAAAAATCCTTTTTGTTTTCTCTGGTTTTATTGGGTTAAAATTTTAGTATTTGGGAAACATACTCATTTTCTAAAGTCACAGATGCCACAGATAATTTTTCCATAAATTGAAACTGGAGAACATAAGGATTATAACTAAATGAATCACTATAAATAATGCTAGAGTGGGGGATAAAGCAAAGATTATGGATTTAATTATTGAAGAGTTGCCTGTTTTTAGGTTAATGGGTGTTTCTGTTGCCAAAGGTATTATATAGTATTTTAGACAGACCAAAAAAAATCAATTTATATGAACACGATTTATATGTTCCAAGCATGGAAAAAAAACTATAACATTTAACTGACAGAAAATGATTTTGGATTTAATGGTAGGTCATTGTAGGGTAATCATGTTGCGAGTGCTCTGCTCGCAGGACTTTCAATGTGAAAGAGAACAGCACTGGACAAGGTAACTCATTTGCATGATCTTGGCAAGGACCATTAGTGTCACTGACAAGGAGTTCCAGACCACAGACTATACTCTTAGGCATAGGAGAGCGGTAGAGTATACACGGATCATTGTGAATTTACAACTAGAGAAATGTGTCCAAATGAGTAGCCATCTGTACATGTATTCCTACATCAGACAATATTTGCTTTAAAAACATCTGGAAAAACACATCACTTACAACCAAATTCAGCAGGGAATATAAATGCCGTTTAAAATCAGTATATGTGTCAGCAGGCTTTGAAAGATGAATTCTGTCGTGCAAATGCAAATTTGTGATAAGCACAATAAACAAAACAAATACATTAAAAAGTAGCTTGTGAGAAGTTTAGAACTAACTGCCTGGGTTTTATCTTCCTTTTTTATCTGAAAGAGCCAGTAATCCTAATGGTTGTTGAGTTGTTCTAAGTGTTTCTAGGTGTTCTGATATCTGTAATGGCATATACCGCTCCAAAAATTATAATTATATTGCAACACATTTTTAAGAATTTGTTATTCAAATATATCTAAAATTAAATAAATCTTAATTTGTACTTTAACTGCTTGGTTTATAGAAACTCAATAGTTGTGAATGAATGGTGTCATTCGTATGAGACTCTTAAAAAGGACACAAATGTCTACCAGTGGTTGGTTTAGAACCTATTTTTCTGTACTTAAGCTTTTTAAAATTTATGAAAAGTGACAGCTAGGAGCAGAAATCGCCCTTTTGTTTCGAGATGAGACTGCATATTGTTAATGCAATGCAGTGTGTTTCCTCTTGTAAGCTTTATACTCCCCAGATATTTCATGAAAGAATAGCATGTATTAAAGATGATTATATTACAAGGGCAAGGAAATAGTTCCTACAGCACAGTATAACATAGCTCATGAACTATTTTATTTGTTCTAAACTGCCTGCTGGATCTAATTATTACCTAGCAGTGTCAGTTACCTAAGAAATATTTACATTAGTGATCAAATAAGTTTAATTTTTTTCAAGTTAGAACATGGAATATACAAAATGATACTGATGCATCATGCATGGTACTTTACAGCTTTCATGACAATTTAAAAATATTACTTCATTACATACAGTAGTCCCATGTTTTAAGTACTAGAGGTGCTATTATTCCTGTTTTGCACATTGGGAAACTGAGGCTTAGGTGTTAAGTGACCTGGCCAGGGTAATACGGCCAGTAAGTGGCTGACCTGGCCCCACAAACTCTGATCATTCTCATCACACTGTCCCATGATGCTTCCCAGAAAAGCAAAATAAAGCTCCCAAGTAAAATGTGAAGTATTTTTAAAAGTAGTCTGTTTTTCTATAATTATTTTTCAACTTTTTGTTGAATATTTTTAACTAATTTGAAAAAATTCATAATTATCTAATTTCAAATATATGATCATTTTAGAAAATCTGCAGCAGCTTATAAACAACCATAGTCAGTGACATACCAAACTAGCCGTTATACGGGGTATGAAAAACTTGTGAATATCACTTCAATGACATTACAAGGTTAAAAATCTATTTGCACTTAATATAAAGGAACCTACATAATAATGTGCATATTATAATTAAGTAAATGTATTTGAACTTTTTACTCAAATCACATAACAAATGCTATCTACATCACTGAAAATGATCCTCAAAATTCTGAAAACAAAATGTAAAGGATCATCATATTTCTTTGGCTAACTAGAACAGTTAATAAAAATACTTGTTAAGAATGTTGGGTTTCTTACCCAGGAGTCCATAGATGGGCTTCAGAGGTCTATGAACCCCTGAAATGCGTATGTATATATATGGATTGTGTTTGGCAAGAAGGAAACATGAATTCTGTTAGATGTAGTTTTTAAAATTTGTATTTGGGGAATGACTGTGTTCTACATTGTAATGACAACTTATTTCATATGTGCCCATTAGGAATTTGAACAAAAAGATTATCATCAAGTATAGCGCACATGTACTGGTCACTTGTACTATGTGCGAGATACTATTATAGGTATAGTTGTAAGTACTACATTTATCTCATTTAAGTATTACAGCAACTCCAAGAGGTGAGTTTTATGATGATCCTCATTTTGCAGATGAGAAACCAAGGCACAGAGAGGTTAGGTGGCCAGCTGAAGGTCACATGTTTAACAAATGGCAGAGCTGAGGCTCAAATCCAGTGTAATGCAAAAATCAGTGTTCTTAATCACTGTTCTGTACTTCTTAGTGCATGCTTTGAAAAATAATCACTTCATAGATATATTGGTACTTTTTCCTTTCCTAAAACCTAAGCAGAATTCTAAAGTAATACATGATCAGAAGAGAGCACTGTGGTTTTCAGGTGGAAATAAGCTTGTAAATTTTTGAAATGTCTTTCAACTAGAAATACCAATTTGTTTAACAGAGAAAACATACAGTTATATCTATTTTATTTATTAAGGTTTTCTTTAGCTTATTAGTGAAATTGTTTTGAGAGAAAAATAGGAAGATACTTTACTTTCTTCATATGATGTAGCTGCTCATTTTTTAAAATGTTTTTAACAATAATCTTAATAATTTTACCCACTTGCATTGTATTACCTTTTGTTACACAGCAGTGTCTTTTTTTCTATTTAGTGATTTAAAAAAATTTAAATTTATAAAAAACTGGATAAAAAGAAGACAGTCATTTTGATGACGAACACTTGTGAATGACCCCTTTACATGAATGTCTTTGTTTTGAGTTTTCTGTTTTCCTTAAACAAGATAATTATACGCAGCCAAATCAGATTACTGTAATTTGGAAAAATGTTTATAGCGATGTCGTTGAATTGTCTGTTCACTACATCATACCATGTGGTTTTTTAAAAATCCCATTTAGCCCTGAAGAATGTTAAATAGAAATATATCTTTACGTGAGACAATAGTTTTAAATGTAAACTTTAAGATCTAATTATGAGAATACATGATTAAGCTAGGATTGTCTGACAAGTCAATATGAGTTCTGTTGCCATAGTATAGTTTTAAATTTTTTAAAGCAATTATAAGGTTAGTGAGAAATTGCTTGATGAAAGATTATTAGTGGGCAACCTCTCCCAGTCTCCTTCAGCTAGTCCTTTTTTCACTCCCTGTCTTGGTCTACAAAAATCAGGAAAGTTGCCTTTGTAAGAGAAATTCTTTTTAAGAAATGGCTGTGTTACAATTAAGGACTACTCAATTTAGGAAAGTCAAGGTAGAAAACCTGGTCCATCACTAGGAAACAATCTTCAAAGCCAGTCCAACATTTTACTTTGCTGATAGCATGAATCTCAAGATATTTAATAATAGCAAGTGTTCCAAGCCTTAACCCTTCGTTAGACAAAACTTTTAACCAATATTTATTTCATTTTTTGGTATTCCACTGGAGGTGAAGTATAGCAGCTGTTTAAGGAATGTGTGTGTGTGAATGTATGCATGTGTTTAGAAACAAAGAGCCATACTGAAATTACAAAGTGACTAAAAGAGAATTTAGTAACCCAAATTGGAATTTGGCTGGGATGCACGAGGGATTATTATTCTCTCTACACTCTAGACAGTATGCTTTTTAAACAAAGTGCAGATGCTCACACTTGGCCGATGATGAGTAGACTCACAACATGAGAAACAGGAAAGAGTATTACCCCAAATGTTTACATAAGGTGTTAAATAAAAACTATTAAGGTAAGAAGTTCAATGCTTTACATAGATAGTAAACTATGCATATTATTTTATTTGTAACCCCATGTGTTAAGATGGGACACTGTTAAAGTAACAATCACTTAAAAAGCAACAACCAACAAACCAGTATTTAATTTGGTACTTAAAATTAATAATTAAAAATCAAATGGAAGCAACGTCTAAAGTAACTAAGATAATTCACAATAAAAACCATTAATTCAGGCTCTACTTATTGGAAATATGGTAATTCAAAATAGGCTAATCTAAAATATACCTGTAGAGATAGAATAACGGTGTAATATAAGTTAGCAAATAATTAAATAAGATTTCAGGGAGCCTGTAAAATTACTGTTAAGAACTTCAGAACTGATTATATGCAAAAAAAAACCTAAGTTTAACTTCATTCATACGTGGCCTTATTTGAAGCAATATGTTTGCATTAACTTGCAAAACTCATGTCAGTAAGATGTTTTTTTAAGTATTTAATTTCCCAGGTATTTCACTACTTTGAACTAGCTGTTCCAGTGACTAGTCTGAATTTCTGTTGAAACCTAAGCCTTTAATGAAAACGTACTTCTAAAAATAAGGCAATTTCTACAATCTGCTTATGAAAAGAAAACAAATCTTTGGTTTTTAGTTAAAGGGCAGGAAGGGTTTTGCAAAAAAAACCAAAAACTAAAGAACCAAAGCAGTGAAATGGCTCTTAAAAAGCAATGGGAAACTCCAAACCCCATCAAGGTCAATAGAGGACCTAAGGCACCTCAGGTTAATGATACAATCATCTTTGCTTAGAGTTCTAATAATCTATATACAGGATTTTTACCACCTTAAGAATGTGAAGCTGAAAAGGTTATGTCAAACCATTACTGAATAAGAAACAAGAGAATCATGAGTTGATGAATGGGAGAGATACTGAGATCACCTCTTCTACCTCTCATCTTTATAGATGAGGAAACTGAGGCCCAGTCATGAAACATGACACCAGAGCTGTGTTTCCAGATTCCTAGTCCATTTCTTAGGGTAGGACAAATTCTAGATTTTAAATTTCATTGGCTAGTAAACCAGTGTGAAGAGTTTCAGAGATGTGAATTTGAGGGGGGGGGGGGAATCCCATCAAATCCCCAAAGGCAAGTTGGAAATGTATAATACGTACTTTAGTGTCTTCATTCCTTTATACCAAGTGTTGGACAACTTAGCTAACTAACTGATTTATACAATTCCTTTCAATTCTCTCTAAAAATAGCAGACCAAAATTAAATGAGAGAGTTACATGAGATTCCATTTGAGCATACATAAGGCCGTGGTACTCAATGTGAACCGCCACTTCTTGGGAGAAAGGAGACATCTCCACTGTCCAGCTCAGAGAGAAAGCTCCTGACTTAGGTATCCAGTAGACTCTCTACTCCTCAATGGAGAAGAGTGTGCTTCTATTTTTAAAAAATCTTTACAAAGCTCACATACAAGATAATACATCCTAGATTTGTGGCTGATATGATCATTTAAGGCTGTCATTTTCAAGTATAAAAGTTTAGTGTTCCATTACCCAGTCTGTGCAATAGACATAGCTATAAGCTCAAGTCATGGAAATAAACAGGAGCTCACCAAAGGCATAAAGAAATCATAACTTAGGCAACAGCAAGTTTAAATGTAAGAAAGACGCAGGGTGGGGGGGAATCTATGAATTAGATTAATGTTTCTCTGAACTGCATTAGTTTGTTCACACTGAAACTTTGTCTAACACTATTGTCTGTTGCATGGCATTTGGAAAAAGGCAGATCCACAGCAGACCAAACAAGGAAGCTTAATTAGGTAACAACTAGTAATTAAGATGGTTCACCTCTAATACAATTCTATGGCCTGTTCCCCCAGAGAAAGATTAGAAATGGCTCTAGTATACCAAATAAGCTTCAGAGGTGAACACACACACACAAAATTTAAAGCAGGACTTTTCACCTAGGGACCAATATGCACTGTTTGTGGATGAAATAAATCAATATTATATACTTCTGGCTTGATGTAATATTGTGAAATGTTAATATGGCTGGGGGAAAAAATGGGTATTTGGAAGCAAATATTTAGTTTAACTTACATTCTAGGTATTTGACTTAAGTTGTAGTTCTGTAACTTCTGCTATGGTTCCAACATCTGGATCTGAAAGGTGACATCAGTTTTATAACAGAAGCAGTTCCTTTGTTATAAATTCCATGTAACATACTTGAATTGGAGGTCTTTTCTCTTTAACACAATTTAAAATTTCTCATGGTTTGGGCAGCATACACACTTCTCATTTCATTTGATATACAAGCCAATGTGGAAATTCAAAAACAAAATTACCAACTAGTTCAGAGAGCTAAATTGAGTCCAAGATTATGGTAAAGTCTGACCCAAAATTTTAATTTTAGGATGTCTCTCATGCAGCTTGGGGAGCATCAAACTAAATCTACAGTCGCCAGAAGCCTTGTTACAATCGAATGCACATTAACTAAAACGTGTACATTTTTAGTGTTCATGATAAATGCAGTTATGACCTTATTACACTTTTGGCATTAAGAAAGCACATTAAGCTTTAATATAGAAATATGTAGGTTACACTTGTGCTCAAGTAATAATAAAACATTTGTTCTTTTTTGATCTCATACATTCTCTCCTCAGGTATGGCCCATCTCCTGTACGCTTGGAGCGACCTTTGGCTACGTGGCTGGCCTTGTTATTTCACCATTCTGGATATACTGCAATAGAAAGCAACTTACATACAAGAACAATTAATTGGAACAAAGGGAGAAGAGATTTCTTTGTGCAGATTCCATAAAGACTGTGCAGAAATGTATGTGGTCTAAGCCAGGCAGTTCCATTTACAGCACTGTTTTTGATGTAGTTACAACATGATGTGATTGTAGCTTTTTAAACTATGAAACCCCTGAGAGATTGTACCTTCTAGTTGAAATAAAGTATTTATAATGGATTGTGGCTTCAGATGCTGTTTTTCTGCTTCTTGGACCTTTAAGAAACATTCTTAACTTTATAGAATTCTGAGGACAGGGCTGTTTTTTTCTTTCAAGTTTTAAACTGCTTCAGTGTTTATAGGAGGTCTGGGTATAGCTGTAGCATTTCATATGCTTTCTTAGAAATGGACAGTTTCCTTGGCCACTGAAGATGTTTCTCACGTTATTAAACAACAGTTTATACATCTTGATCCTATTCTTTTTTTTACTGTGTGTTTCTTTGGAGTTAAAATGGCTATGATAGCCTCATCAAAAACAGTCTTCAATCCCTTCTGGGTTAAAGCTGAACATTCCACATAGCAGCACGCTCCTATCTGGGAGGGAGAAAAGAAAAAAATCACAAATATAGAAAATCTTTTATATACAATTGGAATGTCGCAAAGACACCATTATAAGAAAATTATAAAATACAGCTAAGCAAAAAGAACGAAATCATAATACCCAGAGAAAACTAACTTAAAATACTAGTGTATATCCTTCTAAACTTTCTATGAAAAATTCCTTCATTCATCAAATACTTAACTGGGTACCTACTATATGCCAAGCACTGTTTTAAGTGCTGGGGATAATGTCAGTGAAGTGAGAGACAGAACAAAATCCCTGCTGTGTGATGCTGAACTTTGTTTAAGTCCTACTGGGGGAGGGACAAAGGAGGATGGTGGTACATGCTCTGGAGAAAATGACAGCAAGCTGAGGGAGATGGGGCCAGCGGAAGATAGTGGTGAGGGAAATCTGCTCAACAAGGTGAAGTCTGGGCAGAGGGATACCTAGAGGAAGAATTTCTAGGTGAATGGAGCCACAGATGCAAGACCCTGATGCAGGAGCTTGCGTGCAGCATTCAGGGAACGGTAAAGGAGCCAGAGTAGCAGGGGAGAGGGAAAGAGATGAGGTCAGTGAGGTGGCCTCAGGGCCATTCTAAGGACTTGGGCTTCTACTCTGGGAGGGGACCTATTCATTCACTTACTCATTGAAAATGTACTGAGCACACTTATTTGCCAAATGAGAAAGTACAGCAAGGAAAAAAGTAAGACTCTGCTCATGAAGTTTACACTGCAGAGGAAGACCATGAACTAATAAAGATAGAGGTAGAATGTCAGACGGTGATATCTGGTCTGGAGAAAATAGGTCAGGAGTGGGGACAAGATCAGGCAAGGTCTACTGAGAAAGTGCTATGTGAGCAGAGATCTAAAGGAGTGAAAGAATGACTAATGTTCCATAGGTAAGAACATTCCAGGCAGAGGGAGCAGCAAAAGTCACAAAGCACTGAGGTATAATAGAAGACAAGACCAGCAAGGTGACCACGTGCCTGGCCAGGTATCAGGGGCCACAGTGAGGGCTGGCCTTGACTCTCAGTGTGCTGGGAGCTGCTGGTGGAGTCTGAGCACAGCAGTGAGCTGATGGAGCTTGTATTTTAAAACATTCAGGCTGCAGTGTTGAGCACAGATTAGCATGGGGCACAGACAGAAGCGGAAAAGTGAGTCAGAAGCGGTCCCATAATCCAGGCCAGAGATGGAGAGGCCTGCACCTGATTGATGGGGCCAGGGCCGGGGCAGGATGGTGAGGAGGGTTTGGATTCTGGAGGAAGAGAAATAGTTTTTGCTGTGGGGTTGGCTATATATATGCGAGAAAGGGCAAGGTCAAGTGTGACTTCAAGATTTCTGACCTGAGTACCTGGGAGGACAGGCTTGGAAGGTAAAATTAGGAACTGTTCTGGACATGTTAATTTTGAGATGCTTAGCCACCCAGGTGGATGTGCCGAGTGAATGGCTAGATAACGAAATCTAGAGTTTAGGGAAGAGGTCCAGGCTGGAGATAGATATTTGGGAACCTTCAGTTGTAGACTGTTCAAACCACAAGACTTTCTATCAGCTCATCCAAGCTTAGAGAATGAGTGTGGATATAGCAGAAAAGATGTCCAAGCATTTGGGTGCTGATCCCTGGGCCCTTCCAACATTCAGAGACAGGAGATAAAGGACAGGCCAACGAGAGGGGAGAAAAACCAAAGAAAGGGCATTCAAGGAAGCCAAGTGAAAGTATTTCAAGAAGGGACCAACTGCCAAATGCTGCTGAGAGGTCTAAAAACGGGGTCCTATTGTTTTACAACCACTTTGTTTTCCTTAAACTACATAATAAACATGAACATCTCAATGGATATATTAGTATAAATTTTTAATAGATGCAGGTTTTTTTGTCCTTATAAACAGTGCAGCAGCTTTGTAGCCATCTCTAAGTACATTCCTAATCATTTTCTTAGGATAAATTCCTACATACGGAATTGCTTGATCAAAAGTGTGCATGATTTTAAGGCTTTTGCATATCATCAATACTGCTTTTACTCAACGACCAATAGTACAATAGAGTGCCCACTTTCTTGAACCCACAGAAGAGTGGCTATTAGAGTTACTTTTTTATTTTTTGCCAATTCTTAAGATTTTATTGGGGAATTGGGGGAGGGAACAGCATTGGGGAATCAGGGAGGGGAACAGACAAGTTGCTGTCCTTTTGTTCTTCAGTCTAGCTGTGGAGGATGTTGCTACACTGGCCCATGTTGATACTGTGATCACTGCGCTCTTCCTGGCTCAGGCAGATTGGTCGCCGGCCATTGGATGGCTGCTCACAGTGGCTCATGGCAGCTCACACCAGCTGCCGGCTACTCACGGTAGCTTACAGCAGCCCACTGCAGCTTCACTGCAGCCTACGCTGTTGCCAGCGACTCACAGCAGCCCAGCTCCAGGTCAAGCTGTTGTTCACCATGTTAGCTGTACAGGGCGCAGCGTCATTGGCCCATGTGGGATCCGAACCGGTGGCCCTGCTGCTCAGAGCTTGTGCTCACAAGTCAACTCAACCAACGAGCCACTCGGCCTGCCCTTGTGCTAATTTTATAAGTGGAAATTGACTAAGAAATCTGAACATATTTCCTAACTTCAATGGCAATCTGTGTTTTTAATAATTTTCCACTGATGTTCTTTGCCCACTTTTCTATTGGGGCATATATGTCTTTTTCTGATTAATTCATATAGAATAGGTCCCTGTGAACTAAGGATATTAACACTTTTTTCTGCCATACGTGTCAAGTTTGTGACGTATTTAATTTTATTTCTGGCATTTAATGTATTCAATTTTTATGTAGTTAAGTCATCAATATTCTCATTTATGACTTTTACTTTTACCTTTATGACATTTAGAAACTCCTTCTCTCCCCAAGATTATAAAATTGAATATGTGGACTTTTTAAACTGATTCGTTAGTGAAGCTATTTATCTTTTGCTTTAGGAAAACCTATCCTGCAAAAAGTTTCCTTGCTTTCTTCTGCCTTCTGATAGTACAATTTAAAAGACCTTATTAGATTCTGTTTTCCCCAAAGTCCTATAAAAGTCACAACATATAAAAAATAGAATCCAATAATGTTAGGGCCCAATGGAGAAAAAATGTAAGCCTAGCTTTGGGACAAGGAAGAATACAAGTTAAAAAGTATTATGCATATCACAGTTATGTATATTTAGAATGCTACTATTTTCCTATCTTTCATAAAAAGATTGGAAGAAAATTCAACTTATTTCTTTTCAAACCTAGCCATAATTTTTTGTTTTTAACTACAGATTTAAACTGTCACCCTAGGCCACTCCACTACCTACTCCATGAGTGTTAACTGAACACAGAGCCTGATTTGGCACAGTACAAATATTTAAGTGATTAAGAAGAGCTTAAAGATCAGCACCTTTTTCTGATGCCTCTTTGTACACACGACTTATTAGGAAAATATTATTGGCGGCGTAAGAGCCTGGGCTGTGAAGTCAGGCCTTGACTGAATCCCAGCTCTGCCATTTGTTACCCGCGGGATCTGACACATTACCTGACATCGCCAAGTCTCTGTTTTTCTCTTCTGTAAACCAGGGAATGAGCCAGACCTGTACCTCACAGTCAACGCAAGGATTAAGCGAGATAATGCACGGAAAGCACTCAGTACAGTGCCAGGCATACAGTAAGTACACAATAAATGTTAGCTGCTCTTACATTTACTTTGAAATTCTTTAAAGATTTCATTACCTCTTTTGCTAGTTTCTGTCCTTGTTCCACACATATAGGCTTTTCTTTCATATCATTCAGTCTTGCTAAAGTTTTGGGGTCATCTCGGAGATCAATCTAATTAAGAAAGGTCAATAATGTCCCATAACATTACAAGTCTTTAAAGATAAATCAAAGCATGTAGTCCCATTTAATCCCCACATACCAATACAAGATTAAACACAAGAACTTAAATTTTTAAACCAACTAATATAATTGCCTTTTTTTGGCACTACTTTTCCCAAAAACATCATAGTGTTTATTATAACTTACAACTGAGATTAAACATGTATATCAATTGCTAAACCTTAGGACCATTTGTCTGAGAGCAACACCACAAGCTAGGCCAGAGAAATTTTTCTTACATGGGTAAAAATCAAAGCAGACATACCTGAGTTCCTATTAATAAAAAGGGTACATTTGGTGCGTATTCCTTAAGTTCCGGCACCCACTCCTCTTTCACATTTTGAAATGAGGCTGGATTCACCACAGAGAAGCATATAAGGAAGACGTCAGTCATTGGATAAGATAAAGGCCTCAGACGATCATAGTCTTCCTAAGGAAGAAAGAAAAACCTCATTATTTCCATTTCCATTTCTTTCGTTTCCATTTCTTTCGTTTCCATGTGTACATTAGATCATATGGTCAAAGAAGCAAAGTCAGGAGTACTCCACAAGCAGAGTGTATGGTACTCTACATAAAATAAGAGAATCCCATTTATTTTTGTTACTTTTAATCCTTTTCAAGTTCTGAACACCAGTGGGGTAAAAATATGACGAGAGCATTGATGACTACCATGAAACTTGCAGAAAACGTACTGTGGCACTAAAGCTGTCACTGGAAACATTTTTAATTGAAAAGTTTGCACAAAGAATTGATTGTAACTAGATGTTGTCTAAGTATTATCATTTATAATAACTAATATATACTGAATATTTACTGTGTTAGGTACTTATCTATATGCTCTCCCAAGTATTTATTTAATCCTCATAACAACTATATAATAACATAAACACCATTATCCCTGTTTTTCATTTGAGTAAACTGAGGCACAGGATGAAGGAGATGGGATTTAAACCCTGGCAGTTTTACTCAGAATCCACGCCTTACCCACTACACATCTTCACTGAGACCTTAAATCTTTGCTTTCCCTGTTTAGTTTTTTTTAATTGTGTGTGTGTGTGTGTGTGTGTGTGTGTGTGAGAGAGAGAGAGAGAGAGAGAAAATTTAAAGATAGAAAAATATAGAATAAATCCACAAAATGCCCCCATTTCCTCCCTAATTTCAGTCCCTTCCTGAAATGGAGATGTTTTCATGTGTATCTTTCCAGTTCTTTTTCTCTGCATGTGTGTGCCTATAACTGCACACATTCAAACATCTGTACATAGAAGAGATCGTGCAATCCATGTTGTTCTGCACCCTTTAGTATGTCTTGGAGATCTTTCCAGACAAGAATACGTTAGACTACCAAGTCATTTTAAACTGCTGCTTCATATTCCATAGAAGAGCTTACTACTGGTGGCTGTTTTAGCATCTCTCTATCACAAAAGGCAGTGAAGATCTTGTTTTGCTTAGGCTATTTTCTGTGACACAAAATTCTGCTTATTTATATTCTAGTGAGTGAACAGAGTCAGGATTCCATTTTTTCAGGGCTGGCCTCTCATCTGGTTTCAAGGAAACTATTTTTGGTCTAGGCCACCACCCCTCTTAAATGACCCACTTCTCTACTAGAACTTCAATGAATGTGGAACTAAAAGAATATTTTAAAACATCTTTCACTCGCAGTTTCAGCAGAAATTCCCTTGTGGAACAATTTTCTTTTCATGTCATCTTCTAACATCTTTTCTTAGTGTAACATTCAACTCAAGCATATTAAAGTCTCAGAGTCTTGATTTTGGAGTTAAGCCTTCTGTTTTTCTGCAATGCTTTCGAAGCACACCCATAGTCTGGGGCCGTGGGCATTGAGAGATTTCTCAGGTATTACTAATAGCTTTACTGGGCAAGAGTGAAAGTGCCATCTCCAATCATCTTTCCTTCTTTTTTTAAAAGTGGAGGCCTCTCACTGGTCTTCAATAAAGCAGTGCTCTGGTGTTAAGAAATTATTAAAGGAGAAATCAAGTGGAGGTAGGTATGAAACATGTGATACCCCAGCCAGTTACTATCAGAGGACTCCTATCAAAAATAGAACATGTTTTGGGGAGGCTGGGTGGCTCAGTTGGTTAGAGTGTGAGCTCCAAGCAACAGGATTGCAGGTTCAATTCCCACATAGGCCAGCGAGCTGAGCTCCCTGCAACTAGAATGAAAACGGTGACTTGAGCTGAGCTGCCGGTGGGAGGCCAGATGGCTCAGTTGGTTAGAGCGCATGCTCTTAACAACAAGGTTGCCAGTTTGATTCCCGCATGGGATGGTGGGCTGCGCCTCCACACACACACACACACACACACACACACACACACACACACACACACACAACTAGATTGAAAGCAGTGACTGAACTTGGAGCTGATGGGTCCTGAAAAACACACTGTTTCCCTATAAAGTTTAAAAATATATATATATATTTTTGAAAAATCAGTTTGAATGTTAAGTAGTTTGATTGGATGCATTAAATATACTTTTACTCTGCTGCCTATTTCAAACTGCATGTCAATAAGCGGGGGAAGGGACAGCACTTAATCTTAGCATCTAACCATAAACTCTACATTCCAAGAGAATTTGGCATGGTCAAGGAATAGGGTACTCTTGTTTAAAAATATCTCCTCATCCATATTTAGACTTCCAATTTTCACAGAATTAGAAATGCGGATACTGTCTCATAGGATTGTGAGGAATATATGAAATAATGCAACGAAAGCACTCAGCATAGTGCCAGGCACATAAAAGAACTCCTCCAGCACTTTCACATAAATTTTTCATCCCACGGGAAACTTGATTCTCCTATTCTTCCACAAATCCACGCAGGATCCCAGCAGTCCCACACCAGTCCTGGTTTTGCATCTCTCTCCAACCACAGAGAAGAAAATCCTTTCGTGAGAAATAAAATTTTCTACACTGGCATCAACACATACAAATCAAACTGAGGTCTCTTGAGGACAGTATACTTTTCAGATTAATAAAAGAGAATGTTATTACTGTACTAATTAGTCATTTGGGGACTCAAAAGCCTTAAGACTATTTAAAATGTAACCGGAAAAAAAAATTTATATATTTCTAAGAAAACCAAATGAGATTTTTTTAATGAAAATTTTACTTTTCAAGCAAGTTTACCTCACCGGGGAACTAGAATGTGCACTCTTTCTCTAGAAGAGTATTACAGGAATAAAAAGAAAGTGAATGCACAGTTCCCTAGAAATGCTTAATAATATTACCCCAAATATTCTACAGAACATAAGTTTGTTGTATGGCTCGCCTTCATAACCTTGGTAAATACTGACTTTCCTAAATGAGAGAGACATGTGAGCACAAAGGAAAGAAATTCGACTAATCATTTCTAGATGTCTGTTAAATTGCAGATTTTGGTGAAATAATTAAAATGTGAAGGATTTGGGTTATAAAAAACAAAACAAAGACAAGTATGTTTAGAACGCCTTAGAAAGAAATTTTACCTCTAAAGTCTGAACTCTATCTAAAATGAACTCCTGTCTGTAATCTCCAGATAAATAATTGGCAGTTATTATAAGAATGAGCCCTTTCTACTTCAATCTAGCCAAAGTAATTAGAAGTCTAATAATAGCAAATTAAAAAAAATAAATTATCCCCTATGCATTCTGTACCCTGCATCTTATAAAATCGTTTATCCCCACTGTGCAGTATCTTGGGTGAACTTAATGTGAAATTCTGGATTTGGGGAAAAATAAATTGAAGCATGCAGAACCCTTCATCTCCAGCTATTTAGTTTAAATTTGACAACACAAAGAAAATTAAATGTGGAGCAATTCTCCTTACTTTTAAGTAGCCCCTTATCAAAGTCAGAACTTCACGCCAACTCTCTAGTGTCCTCCTAATTAACAAATCAATTATATTTTACTTCTTTTAAAAAAAGGTAAGTATTAGAAACATTTCAGCATGGTAACTGGAACACTCTTAGGAGTAGAGAAAAGTGTATTAACACAACTGTCTTACATCAAAACCATGAAAAACAATGCATGAGTTCGGTCAACAGGATTATTGGACTACTTAGTAAATCTTTAGTTTCTTTTCTTTTTTTTTTTTCAAGCAAGCATGTTTATTAACCTGCTGGGCTGAGCCCATGAGAGGCGTCAGCCCCTGCAGGTTTTAGTTTCTAACCAAATGGCTAACTACCAATTTTTTAAAAGCGTCTTCTGGTAGCTTAGGGATTAGGCTCTCCATTCTAGTCAAGTCTTTAATCTAGATGACAACCTTAACACCTTAGAAGTATCACACACGTACAACCTGAGAAGGATTTGCAGACAGAAAGAGACTGAAGAAATGTGCTCTGAGAGGAAACAAAAGACCTTCAGGGGTAACGGAGAACTGTAGCAAATGACCATCAGGTGGGGGACCCCTTTTTATGTACAGCTCGGCCAGCAGTGCCCATGAGCACCCCTACTTCTCTACTACCTTTGTCTCCTTCATGTGGACTTGGGGCTCCCTCCTACTTTAGTGGATTCTGTTTAAATTACACATTTTTTAGCATATGTATTTAAAAAATATATATCCAAAACATGAATTTTAAGCAAAACAACTCACACTGGACAGTACAGGCCTTGCCATGCTTTGTTAACTAGTATGCTATCACACACTGGTCACTTAAAATCAATCAGCAAAGATTTATTGAGATCCTACTGCATGGAAGACGTTCTAAGGATACATACACATACAAGGAACAACTGCCCCCTCAGGAGCTTATAGTTTAGTTGGGAATTCAAGACACATACATATAAAAAGACAGTCATATACAACAATGGAAGAAAGAAAAGTATAAACTGAGCAGGTGAATATAGAAATGCTTAATCCAAGAAACATTAATAGGGCACCTACTATGTGTCCAGAATGGTGCTAAGTGCAATGAATCATCAGAGAAATGAAGGAAGAACAAGGTTCAGATCATATCTGATATGTATAACATCTTAAAAACATTTGCAAAGCTTTGTCATAAGATATCTGTATGGTAAAAATAAGGCAACGAGGGCCAGTCGAGTGGCCCAGCTGGTTAAGAGCTCGCTCAAGAGTGCGAGTTCTGAGCAACAGGGTTGCTGGTTCAATGCCCAGCCCGACCTGAGCTGCAACTGAGCTGCCAACAGGGGGCAGGACGGCTCAGCTTAAAAAATAAAAATAAAAAAATAAGGCAACGAGCTCAAATGAGCAACAGTACACACAACGTACCCGTGGCACCTCAGGAGAGCATTGCAGACCTCAAAGCCACAGTCTAGAAGAGAAGAAATCGGGATGCCGGTGTGGGAACATGCATAAGGGTGGCACAGAAGAGGAAGAATTTGATAGGTGGGGAGAGACACAAATATTTATAACAGTCTCTACTCTTAGGGAGTTAGTTCCTGGTAAGGGAGACAAATGTACGTGAACACAATATTACAA